CCCCAAAAAAAAAGGCGAATTTTGACCTTTGTGAGAAAGGCGAATTGCATGGCTTTCAAGAAGTAAATAAACAAAAATAAGGTTGGTTTAGATGTCCAAAAATCTCGATATTTACCGCCAAATTTTCTTCATACTATATATATATTGCACAGCTCTGCGAGTTCTCTGGTTCTCTAATCTGTTCTCGGTGGTGGGTCAGTATAAGTGCCATCTCTTTTGCTCCTGTACTATTGCAAGAGCAACTCGGGGAACGCGGAGAAAACTCGCATGCAGTGCTTGGTAGAGCTGAGCTGAGAGCATGCATGCAGTCAATCTTTTCAAATGATCGAGAGTGACGCGAAATTATACTTGGTTGAATTCCGCCATGCTGTACTTCTTCAAACTCTAATTTAGCATTCAATGACACAAAATATTGATAGCATATGAATTAGAAAACTGTAATATTACAAGCAAAAAAATATACCTAGTGACCGATAAGCCACACTATTGGAAAGTGCCAGGAAAATGCCAAATGCTGCTAAACAGATCATCTAGAAATATTGTTTCTCAAAATCAGCTGAATGTCTTTGAAACGTTGGAGTAAATGGGTGCAGCTTTTAAATGCACCAATTTAAATTTGTTACCTCAAGTGTTTAAGGTCGAAAAGCTGTGTAAACTGCATGGCATTCCTGTTTGTTTGATATAACAAAAGTTAGGTTAACAAACCTGTTTAAACGAAACATATTGATAAAACAATATAGCTGGAAAATTGTCTACGTATACGCCCCTTTCACACGTACTATTATGAAAAGATGCAGAATAGCTGCATTTCCAAATTCATCATTCACATCAGACTAATTTACAAAAGCTAGAACCTAGAGCTATGACCACAACTGTTGCACGATTGAACTCTCTCTCTTACTGCAGTACCTCGACCTCGTCTGTCACCTTGATCAGATTTTTGCTTCATTGATTGGCCAACTAGTTTAATCAGCCAGATAGCAAGCCAAAACCAGGTCTAGGTTTGCAGTGCAAACAAGGACAAAGGGCTTCGTTCGAAACACGCGGAGGTTTTAGTGTTTTAGTATCTTGATCAATATTTATACATGAATGACCCGATGCAGTAGCAATCGCTATGACTATATGTTCCAGATTTTTGCAAAGCTCTAAGAGATGAATTTTGTTAAGTTACTATTAACTAAAAATTGTCCCAGTGTAGAACCGATATTATATATGACTGTTTAAAGTAAGGAATGTCCCGAAAAAAATGCAATCAATATAGCTATAGCCTATTATGATGTTCAGTCCAGATTTTACAGCTGATTATTAGTGAATAGTGGACATCGAAAATTTAATCTGACACTTGGTTTAGCACAAAGAACCGATGTTATGGCTGATTTAAAATAAAGTTTGGTTCATCCAACAATAAACCATTGAAATCATGCATGAGTGTTGTTCTAAGCTTAGACAGACTAAGGCCTGTATTCTAAAAGCTCACTCGCACTCAATGAGTGGAGGTTTAATTGGCTGAAATCGCTATAATGGTTGTTGGGCAAGTTTTAATAATAAAAATCAGGAAATTATTTTGAAAAAATATTGAAACAGATTTCGTTTGGACTACCGGCAACTTCAACCTCGATACTGCCTGCTGTTCAAATATTTTGTTGCGAGACAATCGGGCGACTGTTATTCGCAGGATATATCGGAAAGATCAGGTTCTTACCTGTTGAATGATATATTCTTCAGTGTTCATGCCAAATGAATAAAAATGAGTAAATACGAATTCGATAAAAAATGTTAGTCAGAATCGCATATTTTCACGTTTGAGAGTTGGGTATAAAACCATTGAAAATTGACCCCCCTTTGGGACTTAAGTTGATGAAAACCACTTCAATAAACTACGCACATATTCATAATTCGCGACTAGCCCTGGGTACGACGTTGATCATTAAGTAGGAATAAATCTTAAACAGGCTTTATACGTTGAATTTCGATCGCATCGAATGCAATTAAGACAATAGATAATGAGATGATAAACCTCATTAAGCTTCATTATCTATTGTTTGAATTGCATTCGACGCGACCGAAATTCGACGCGTATACCTACGTGGTACTTGCCTAAAAACAAAGAGTACCAGGCCATAAATTTGGCGTACCTCCGGTACGTTGGTACGCGAATTATCGCACCCTGTAATGGGGTTCGGGCAGCGTTACCATGTCGACCGTCATGGTCAACTTGCCCTAAAACAGTTGAGATTATCTGTCCTAAATGAAATGCGTACAAACTCATATCCAAGTCCTAGACTAAAGTCCTTGAAAGCTTTTTACATTTTTAATTTGGTATGAAGAAATATTTCTCGGTAAGCAGTTTGTCTTATTTCAATTTGTATAAATTCGAACCTGGAGGAATGAACGTATATAGGTGTTTATCTGTATATATTTTGTTGTTGTCGGGGAAATGGCAATGCATGGTGTCTGGGTGGCTACGGACATTTAAAGAGTCATTGTCAACCATAATGCATTTGTTTACATCTTACATTTGGAAGTGACAAACAGCAACAAATGACCGATTATAAACATTTCTTTGGTGCAATTTTAGTATACAAAAGTTAAAATGAGCAAGTATAACCATAGGCATAGGATGGTAGTAATATATTATGGATTGAAACCGAAACATCTATTATTCGGCCATTAAAATGGCCGCCAAGCAGGTTTGGGCGCACAATGCTGGTTCACATATACCTGCGGTATTTCGACGGGCTGTTGTCGTTAGCAGTTCAACCAAATAATTTATAAAAGATGTATGCAGCAACAGCTGTAAACAATGATAGCGCAGGCATACTGTGTGTGAACCAGGCTTTAGGACTTTTAGTGGAATAGTACTATTGACAGTATTGTATTTTGCAGGTTCATATCTTCGGTTCAGTGACTGCCACGTAGATGAAAATACCATTGTTCGATTCAGTGAAACGATATATCCTAATTCCTAACGATAGTTTTACTTTTAGTCAAAGTCCAACATTATAGGCTATAGCGATTTATGACCTTTGTAGCTGTACTTTCTTTGAAAAATTTAAACAATGACAATACTATATTTAAACTACTAATACTAGAAAGTTTAAGCTTCGCGTTATACGGCAAACGGCAAAAGCCAGGCAAATACAATTTTACGGTATCAGGCAATAAAGAATAAATGAACTTGCTGTTTTAAAACTGCAATGCATGACTATTCTTTCGACACAAGAAAGTAAATATGAAACGAAAACGTTCAACGAAAATTTTGCGAAGAAAGTTCGAACCTGCCGTTTGCCGTTCCCGGAAACGCGAAGCTTAAACTCCCTACTATTAAAGCCATACCTTTCGCCGAACATAACTTCGGCCCCTTCGGACCGATATCTTTTTCGTAATAGTCTACTTCGAATCACAATCGAAAACACTATTCCGAGTGTTATTTTTAAGCTTGTTGCTTCAGTTTTTCATCTTTTATTTCGGTATTTCAATCTTAGTGAAGTCAGCGGGTATTTTTTGACCGGAAATAACATTTTAATTTGCCTATTAAAATATGCAGCCACTATCGATGTTTCGAGCGAAGGCCGGCCTAACTTCCCGACGAAGAGCCCTCGCTCGAAACGTCCAAGTTCTCCTTGTATTTTTCATTTAGTTGTATCCCTATCAATCTAAAAAATTCTTATTTAAGACACTAACTACACTGGCACAGACCATTATAAAAACTAAAAATAGCTTAATTACTACCTACTTTATTATTGTTTTTCAGAACAAAGACCTTGGGTTCGCAATGACAGCGCCTTTAGAGCATATGTTCCGTCTAGGACGGCCAAAATTCCTCATGTACAGTAATGTTATATACACAGTGGGCGTGGCAGCCGCCTACAAGAGCAACCCAACCTTGCCTTTCAATCTTGGCTCCTACATCTGGGTTTGTCTCATGGTTCATGCCGTCCATGCGATGACTCATTATTTTAACGAATATTACGATTTCGAAGCTGACTGTGCCAACAAGAACCCAAGCCCCTGGACTGGAGGTTCGCGAGTATTGGTGGAAGGAAAATTGAAACCAAAAGTGGCGTTATTGATTGGAAGATTAATCTCTCTGATAGTGTTATCAAACGCGGTCATTTATTATGGAATCACTGGAAATGTCCCAGCAACTATGACTATAGTCCTGTGTGTTATTTTTGGACATGGTTATAGTGCCTGGCCTCTCAGCACGTCGCGTAGAGGACTGGGCGAGGTGAGCATTTGTCTTGTTCTGAATATTCTTGTACCATTGGTGGGTTATCAGTCACATGACCCAAGTTCACCATTTGGTAACAGTTTGTTGTGGCCAATATTACTTCCATTATTACCAATACAATTTGTCCGAGTGATGATCATGAACATGGCTGACGTGGAACCTGATAAAATCACTGGTAAGCATTCGCCAAATGTTTAGTCCTTTAATAGTTCTTTAAAAATTTTAATGTACGTGTATTTGTTTCATTAACAAATTCCTGAGTTTCCTTTAAGCATACCACTAGCTATCACCTTTGTTCTATCGCCAAAGAACTTTTTACCATATGTATACACGAGTTAAGACCAGTTAACGTCCGAGACCAGGACGTCTTATACATATAAGCGTTGCTAACCTCCGCAGATTAGGGGCCTAACCATAAACCTCTAGAGATGCCTGTGGAGGAGGCTAAAAAGTTAATAATATATAGTTAGTCTTCCTCTCTTGTTTGTTTGCGATGTCTAACCTTTTGATGTTCTCTAGGAAAACTAACACTGGTCGCACGGCTGGGAATGCAGTTGTCGTGCATAATTCACGGTATTGGCATGGTGTTTGCTTATATCTTACATATATGGTTGTTTGTTTACGGATATCTTTCTACAACGACATTTCTTCTCATGCTTATACCTGCTCCGATTGGATTACAACAGGTACTGTTTTAGGACACTTTGCGCACCAATTGATTTTTCCTTTGTTCACATGAAAAGTGGTGATAGGGGATTCTGATAATCCTCACTTGCATCAGTGAGAGCGGAATGGATGTTTTCGATGACTGAGCCGGTTCTAGCATATATTTCGGCCAAAAGACCAATCTACAAAATACATAACACAATGAGCAGCATAGCAAAACAAAGTCTATATTAAATTAGGTAATAACAACATAGGTGTTTAAGAACTTTCAACAATATGTCGTTCTTATATTTTGACAGCTTGTTCAACCATACATGTATTACAACACAATTCGGAAAATGTAACTTACCAAAATCGCCCTAAAAAGTCCTGGGACGAGGTTGTGAAGCTATCTTGGGAGATGGGAATATCTACTGTGTCATCATCTATTATTATTGATTGGGAGTATTTATTGCGCATCTCAAACGTGTGAGAGATTCGAACACTTTATACTGTAGGGCTGTCACCATAAGATCCACGCCTGATCACAAAGCACAGGTAAGGTGGAAGGATTAGTTTTTGAGAAGAAAAACTGCCTCAAATCACAGGAATGTATAACCGGTGATAGTAACTAACATTGATTATTTTCTGTATAGATCCCTAATGTGTTCATCCGCCCATGGAAATTTGAAAATCCATTCTGGAGCAGTCAACATAACATACTGTCCATGGCCATGGCACTTGCGGGTATCTTACTTTCTGGAGGAAGACCACTGAGTGGAACATCGTGGGCTCTTATTTTCCCTCTTGTTTTGATCTCTATTTCTGTACCAGTCCTTTTCAAGAAGATCGTAGACGCGGCCAAGGCTCACGAGTCTTTCAATAAGAGACAATAGACCATTTAAACCATGCATCAGTGTTGTTATAAATATTGTATCTTTTAATTATATTATAAGCTTTTTCGTAATCTTTTTATTGGAAAGAATAAAAGAAAAACTCAGAGATCCCAAGGATAGTGCAAAGTTGATATGACAAATGATAAAGATTTATTTTGATTCGCATGATGTATAAAATAGCTCCATGCATGGCACACTGTTAAAGGTCACTACATTAAAGGTGGAAATTTTTCTTTAAATTAGAGAAAAATGTATAATTTTATTAGAAAATTACAAATACACGAAATTTCCTGGGTGTTCATTAATTCGCACAGTATAATATTACAATTTCTACTAGTTGTTTCATCGAGGTCGAGTCTTGAGGAATCATAAACTGCTATTGTTTGTCAAGACGTCAGAACGTTACTTTTCATTAGAAGATTGATGCATCTATAAAGAAGTTGTTTGGCGATTGTTTTAATATATTACAAGCGACGACAGTACAATTTCGTTTCCGTTTTCGTTTACAATTGACTGAATGTGATATTAAACCATGACCCTGAAATTACAAAAAATAGAAAATTACAAAAAGGTACAGTGTAATTGAATGGTTGAATTCCAGAGATGAAACTGGCTCCACAAAACAGCTACCGCCATATATGCTGTAATTCTTAAAACTCTAATTTAGCATTCAATGACACAAAATATTGATAGCATATGAATTATAAAACTATAATATTACAAGCAAAACAATATACCTATAGTGACGGATAAGCCACACTATTGGAAAGTGTCAGGAAAATGCCAAATGCTGCTAAACAGATCATCTTGAAATACTGTTTCTCAAAATCAGCTGAATGTCTTTGAAACGTTGGAGAAAATGGGTGCAGCTTTTAAATACACCAATTTCAATTTGTTATCTCAAGTGTTTACGGTCGAAAAGCTGTGTAAACTGCATGGCATTCCTGTTTGTTTGATATAACAAAAGTTAGGTGAAACTTATTGATAAAACAATAGAGCTGGAAAATTGTCTACGCCCCTTTCACACGTACTATTATGAAAAGATACAGAAAAGCTGCATTTCCAATTCATCATTCACATCAGACTAATTTACAAAAGCTAGAACCTAGAGCTATGACCACAACTGTTGCATGATTGAACTCTCTCTCTCTTACTGCAGTACCTCGCTTAATTGTCACCTAGCTTGACCAGATTTTTGCTTCATTGATTGGCCAACTAGTTTAATTAGCCAGATTAAGCCAAAACGGACAAAGGGCTCCGTTCGAAACACGCAGAAGTTTTAGTATCTTAATCTGACTTTAATCTTTATTTATACATACATGCATGCATGCATGTCCCGATGCAGTAGCAATCGCTATGGCTGTATGTTCAAGATTTTTGCAAAGCTCTAAAGCCCTGTTTAAACGGATCCAACATTGTTGGGCCAACATCATCCAACATTGTTGAAATAATGGCTCAAACGGCTTCTTTTTCAAATATTTTGTCAAGACTAGGTTTAGGGTTTGAGTAAAGCTTATCTAACCAAAAAGATTTGAAAGAGAAGCAGTCATATCTAGTATAGTAACATTGTTGGATGATGTTGGTCCAACATGCAATGTTGGATCCGTTTAAACAGGCCTTAAGAGTAGAGATGAATTTTGTTAAGTTACTATTAAAATTGGCCCAGTAGAACCGATGTTATATTGAGTGGCCAATAAAATGCAATCAATATAGCTATATGTTCCAGATTTTACAGCTGATTATTAGTGGACATCGTCATCGAAAATTTAATCTGACACTTAGTCTTAGATTATTGCAATTGGTTTAGTACAAAGAACCGATGTTATGGCTGATTTAAAATAAAGTTTGGTTCACTTAACAATAAACCATTGAAATCATGCATGAGTGTTGTTCTAAGTACTAAGGTTTGATGGCCCTGTACTATATCTACCTAGGGCACGACAACGTAAAGTCAATATCCACAATTTTTCATCAAACACTTAACTGGCTGATTAACGAAAGAATTATTGACCAACTTCTTAAAAATATCTATATTAAAAATCGCTATAATGTTTGTTAATGTTGGGCAAGTTTTAATAATAATGAGGAAATTATCTTGAAAAAATATTGGAACAGATTTCGTTTGAACTACGCAACTTCAACCTTGATACTAACTGCTGTTCAAATATTTTGTTACGAGACAATCGGGCGGTTGTTATTCGCAGTATATATCGGAAAGATCAGGCTTTCACCTGTTGAATGATATGTTTTTCTGTTCATGCCAAATGGATAAAAATGAGCGAATACGAATTCGATAAAAAATGTTAGTCATGCAGAATCGCATATTTTCACCTTTGAGAGTTGGGTATAAAACCATTGAAAATTAACCCCCTTTGGGACTTAAGTTGCGAGTTAAGTGGATGAAAATCACTTCAATAAACTACGCACATATTCATCATTATCATTAAGTAGGAATAAATCTTACAACAAGTTCGTGATTAATTGATTTTCTTTTGTCATGCACTGCTTTAATTGGATCGTGACTAAAACACCACACGAGTACATACGAATAACATACGAGTAACACACAGGTACATACGAGTAACACACGAGTACATACGAGTAACATACGAGTACATACGAGTAACATACGAGTAACATACGAGTACATACGAGTAACACACGAGTACATACGAGTAAAACACAAATACATACGAGTAGAATACGAGTAAAATACGACTAGTAAACTTGTTTTTAGTGTTTGTAGATTGAATACAGGCAAAAAGATCGTCTTCTCTGTCGAAAAAGTGAAATAGACCGAAACCGGCTATCTTTAAAACCCGGAACGGGGAATGGGGGGACGGGGAATTGGAGAACGGGAAGTGGGGGAACGGGGAATGGAGGGGCGAGGGGGGTGGGAGGTAATAGGAGACAGGGGGCGGGGGAGGTCTGCCAGATTCTATAAACCACATCTTTGTAGTTTGTACAACATCTACTTTTAGGTATTTTACCTAGATAGTTAGATACATGACACAAACCATAGGCTTCACATATTTCACGGCATGGTTTGCTTTCAAAACCCTGTGACCATGCACAAAACCTAACTCACTAACTGCATCTACTTACAATAGTACTAGGTGATAAACTTACAATCCTCACATAGCCTCAATCACAACATGTGGCTAGGCAAATATACGAACTACACAGTTAACTTATACCGTGACGACATACGACAGTTCCGAGACCGAAATACAGGACAACAGGGCCTTTTTTAAGGATTTTCCCGTGGGGGGTATTTTTTGAAAAGGGATCTTAGATAATATATTAGAGGGGGATAGCAATGGCCGACGGCCACGGTGTGTGGCCGACATACTCCCCCAGAAAATGTTTTAAATTTGAACCTTTCAAATACCATTTCCTGCTTTATGAGCGTCTAAATTTGCTCTAAGATTTATGCTAATTTATACTTGTATTTGAAATAAAAGAAGGAAAAACTGCAGAAAAAATAAAAGAAATATTAAAGGTGATCTACAGTCCGATCTGCGCATGTGCACAAATGAGCCCACTTTTTATGATACAAACAGTTTAACTATGTTTTGAGTTCTTGAAAAGCCGGATTGTTGTTTCTTGATCATTTATTATACTCTAGAAGCTTGAAAATATAAATAGTTGTCGAATAAAGCTCAATATTTTGGACACAAAAATGTAAACAAAGGCTTTGTTTACATACGGACTGTAGATCACCTTTAACAATAATTTATCCATTACTTATTATTAAAGGGGGATAGCAATGGCCGTGGGTCACGTGTGTGGCCGACATACCGCGAATGAATAGGGGGGTCTGGAGGCATTAACTCCCCAGAAAATTTTTGAAATTTCAAGCCCAAAAATGCCATTTCCTGCCGTCTGAGCATCTAAATTTTCTAGAATTTATCCTAACTATACTTCTATTTGAAATAAAAGAAGGAAAAAACACACAAAGAATTTAAAAAGTATTAACAATAATTTATCATTACTTAGTGTTAGAAACACGTAGGATGCGCACGCGGTGACACAGTCCTTTAAATCGATTTTGTTAAACAAGGACAAAGGATAGAGCCTAAAACGTACGTTCCGTTTATCAATTTGTTATTCTTCGCTGGTTTGTTTGTATAAATTTAGGAAAAAGAGACTTTTCCGGGGGGGGGGACAAAATGTGATTTCGTGGGGGGGGGGGCGCAAGGGGGGACTGGGGGCAAATGCCTCCCCAGCTTGTAAAAAGGCCCTGCAGGAAAAAATCCAGTTTTCAAGTGAGCCTCAGAACGTGCATTTTCATTTCCGATCAGCCTGCATCAGAGCAAAGTATCCAAGCTTTCTTGGCGACGTTCTCGTTCCGCCAGACTTTCCTCCCCTTCTCAAGGTGGAGCACGTCCAAAGGCTTGCAGGAGAGTTCGGCTGGGTCCTTTAGAAACGTACTTGCCAACTTAAATTGCTAACTTAAAATCTGCGTATTTTGAAGTATTTTGTGTTTTGTTAGTGTTGCTTTGTAAGATATTTAAAATAGGATAATCACTTTAAGATATCATATGGAGCATAAGGACCGCCTTGGGATTGCATCTAGTCCTTAAGTTTGTTTTATTATATAGCAAGTATATTAGCAATGACATAAGCAATGTTATTATTATTAATACTACTTAATGTTCGGACATAAGCAATGTGGATTGACTTTTTTATGATACGCTCTACTAATAAAGGAAAGCTTCGCTAAATTTCTTTACTAGTTTTAATTCATTGAGCGGTTTTCTAATTCCCAAGACACCAGAGCCCGTTTTATAGATTCGTAATTCCCCGATTCCCGTTTATCCTGTCGAATTTCTGTTTCTTTTTTTCTGTTCTTCCCCCCCCCCCCCGTACATATGATTAATATTACGTATTAATAATAATTCATAATTGCTCGATCCCACCCCCCCGTTACTCGTTCCTCCATTCTCCGTTCTCCCCATTCCCTGTTCCTCCATTCCCCGTTCCCCCATTCCACGTTTTTCGACAGAGAAGACGATCTTTTTGCCTGTATTCAATCTACAAACACTAAAAACAAGTTTACTACTCGTATTTTACTCGTATGTACTCGTATTCTACTCGTATGTACTCGTATGTACTTGTGTTTTACTCGTATGTACTCGTGTGTTACTCGTATGTTACTCGTATGTACTCGTATGTTACTCGTATGTACTCGTGTGTTACTCGTATGTGCTCGTATGTACTTGTGTGTTACTCGTATGTTACTCGTATGTACTCGTGTGGTGTTTTAGTCACGATCGAGCCATTAGTAACTTTATAAACGAAATGGTGACGTAGCGCCATTATTACGGGGATAAATTGTTACATTTGGGTATTTACTCATTTGGGTATTTAATTTGTTTACACAAATGAAACCATTCGTGATTCATAACCATTCATTTGGCTGATAAAATTACTGTACATGTGCCGATGTGCGTATGAGGCGTGAATCTCTGGGCGCAAGTTGTCAAAGACAGATCATTCTATACCGAAATTCCTTCCCTTTCCGCTCTTTTTCTTTAGTTATTACGTGCTGTCATTTTCGATCATTTTCTTAATAGATTAGTTTTGTTCAAGGTGATGGGAAAGGTTGTACCTTTTTTGTTACAGTCAAACTGTTAATTTGTCGATATTGTGCACATTCAAACAAAAGCAACGAGTTAGGATTCTATCTACTTTATAATTAAAATATTGTTTTGTTGTTTTGTTGTGGATAAACGATCCACTAAAAGTAATTACCTGTTCAGTGTTGTTAAATTTAATATTAATTTAAATATGAAAAACCTAAAATATTGTTAACGATAATAGTTGTGATTGTTTTAGATAATCGTATTACATTAGCGATATACAAGTTCTTTTTGGGAAAATTTCTGTGCTTTGCCTTTGGCTTTTTTGTATTGAAAATTTGACAATTTAATAATGCACTCGTTGACATACTTCAAAAGTCGGGGCTTAACTCGAGCAACAACTTTTTTGTCAAACTTCGAGTTAAGCCCCGGGACTTAACTCGAATGACCCAAATCGTGTTTCGTTCTTCGAGTTAAGCCCTTTTTGAAAAAGGGCGTGGTCTTGGCAAAACAGGGCGTGGTTGGGGCTTAACTCGAAAAGGGCTTAACTCGAGGGGCTTAACTCGAAGGGCTTAACTAGAAGATTCCCGACCTCTTTTAGTTGACTTATTAGCGCAAATGATAAGATTGGAAAATCATAGTTTTTGACAAAACAAG